CAGTTTCAAACGCTCTTTTCAGGTCAACAGTCACACACAAAATGACTTTACCATCATGTACATCTTTTTTCCACTTTGTAGATACAAATTGGCATGCAGTTTCACAAGAATGATTCCTTCCGAACCCGGATTGCTTCTCAAAAAAAAACACCGTTCTCACGTAGGTGCTCACACAGCTGTTCATACACTGTTATATCTATAATTTTCTCGACGACCATCATAAAATTGATGGGTCTCAAGTCTTCTGGCTTTTGGATTGTTTGCGCAAGCGTCTTTCCTGTTCTGAGCGATGTGTTTACAATATTCCAAAGGGGGCCAATGACATCAAACAGCATGTAATTGCGTCAAGTGGACCGCCCACTGGTGAACCCAGAAAGCAGAAGGAGGGTCACACAACGAATGCACTTCTTCACCATAAATTTTAAGGACATATATAGGGAAATATATCTAATAGGCGCGTAGGTGTGTTGACACGAATTTGACCACACGTTGTACGCGGGGGAAGATGGGTTGGTATTCAACCAATCATGCTAAGATACGAGAGAACAAAGATAGACCAAGAAACCATTAGAAGGTTTCAGTTTTGCTTAGTCATACATGCACATTGGTATGTAGAAAGACTTTCGGTATGAAACCTAGCGCAAGACTACCCACTATGAAGAAATGCTGCAAGCATTACCGTGATGGGACGTGTGGCAAGGACTGGGGGATTTTAGCGAGTATGCCATTTCTGGAGAATCTCACACTTCGGCCAGGAAGCGCCGGAAGGGAAATAGTGTCAAGTTTTTCTGCCTTTCCCCTGTCAAAAAATAGGTGTTTAGAGTTACCAAAATTTTGGGAGTATAAATGGGAGTACAAATGTCATTTCGTGATGTTCATGTCATATAACATCCAAAAAATTTAATCATTCTCCGCGATTACAACACACCCTCGCCTCAGGACGCAGTGTCATGGGAAGCGAGCTCAAGACTCTCAATTGATGTGAGGGAAGGGCGCATTCTTTACTCTCTGTTTAACCGCGCACAAAATTCTGAAGCCGGTCCTGATTACTCCAAACATTGCAGCTGACGGGAATCTAGTAAATTTCAAATGAAATGCATTTCTATTTCGAATCCCCTTTCCTTTTTCTTTCAGTCAGCTGATTTCGCATGGAATGTACTTCTATCCGTTATATGAGTCCGGGTAACTTTTTTAATTTCCGTTTCATTAAAACTTGGCCATATATGCCAGCATAAATTCACTCGTTTCTGTCACTGTTATATTGTTTTACATTGATTTTAATCAGGGCGCCATGCCATAACGTATTGCAGCAAAGAACAGTTCCATGGAATATTACTTGATTTTTTACTCAACCAGCCGCAGTCCCAGATCGCACCGAAGCTTCGGACAGCATCAAGCATGTATAATTAGTCGGGACGGCAGCACCCCTAACGTGTGCGCAATACTCGAGCTAGGTCTTATCTGGGCCTTGTACAGAGTGGGGAGGTCATGTGGAGAAAAGTACTTCTTAGCCCTAAACAAGAAGTAACCTAGCTTTCTCTCAGCAGCTGCCGCTAATGACGAGATGTGTTCGTGTCATATCAAGTCCTCCGACCAGCCGAAATGACGGACTCTTTGGTAGAACTGGCTATCCATCGAAAACGGATGAGCGCTAGGACGCTTCTGTTCGTCGGTGATCGATTCTGGTAATAGATGGCACTTTGTGCTGTCCTATTTTGATGCCGTCTATGAATTGTGACATGTTTTTGGCTTCGAATGAATTTTACGCCCTTATGAGAGTCATGTTTATTTTTTCGAAAAGTAGGTATCATCACCTTCTTTTTTCTTTGTTTTTGTTTATGCTCCAACTACCACGAAGTCCTGAGGCCTAAACACCTATGGGCACCGTGATGCTATACGGCGAAACAGAGTAAAGGGGGGACGCCACACGGACTCTGGCGAGGAACACGTGTGCATGCAACATGCACACATTCTGGCCCCGCCTACGAAATCCATCGGATGGTACCTTCGCGTTTGACAATCACATACCGTCTATCACCTACGGGCAATCACAACATCCATAGCCAAGAGGAAAATTTCTGTTGGGACGGGATTTGAACCCCCGCAGCGCACGACGACAGATCAGGAGACCGAAGAGTGTACCACTGCGGCCACCGCTGCTGCTTTTGGTCGAAAGATTAAAAATAACCTTGCGATTAAACCATGAAATAATCCACCATGAAAAACTAATTAACACACATCGATCGTCATTTTCGAAGCGTTACCACAAGCTTACCATTTACTGTATCGATTATCCAGCTCGATTTTTCGCATGCAACAACCTTAAAATATTGCTTACTTTTAATTATTGAGCCAATAATGTAGTTGAGCGCTGCGAGTAGAACTAAATTTTTCAGTGTTAAGAGGAGGAGGGATAGCCGTATTATGTTCTTTATGAATAGCTAAAGCATCACCGGAGGGCTCTCTTACCATATGCAGATGAGGCAGACTCATTTGTATCTTTGGATTAGCAAGAATTCACTTAGTCACTATAATTGTCTCTGATGTTAGTTCTGCAGTATAGGTACATTGACAAGCCCCATCTGATAGGTTGTATTCTGAAGTAAGACTTAGACCCTAGGCAACTATTTTTTTACATAATTGTAATTTATCAGTTTCAACAGAGAAATGATTTTATATTACTTACGTCAAACGAGAAACAGAATCAATAAGAAACACCTTTCACCTCAAAAAGACAAGCTCATTCACCCGCAATCTCGTGCTCACGCAAATTACGGCACTG